ACTTATAACTATATATAACATTTTTACCAACATGCACATTCACGCCAATTTGTATTAAACTATACTTCAGTACCTTATGTACCGGGGTTTGGGGAGTCCCAAAAAAATAATAAAAAAATTCTTTAGATGTAGATTACCAACAAATCTACATACAATTCGGACCAGAAAATAAAATTTACAACAATCGGTCTGGTAGTTTCGGAGATTACCTGTCTAATAAAATTCGACACAAACAAATCAACAGACAGACAGATGACAGAAAGACGGAAACGGAAGCCCTACTTTTTCGTATTCTAGAGATCATGAAATGTCGAGTAAACGTAAAAGTAGCATGCGCCCCGATAGACTCTGTGTCGATACTTCTTTGGTTAACACTCGGGAACTAAAACGAGCAAAGGAATGATGAAAAAAGAAGCCAAAGGAATAAAAAGATTAGAGTGAAAGAAAAATTTGTTGTGGTAGCTGAGTAGTAAAGCCTAGCATATTTCTTCAATAGAAATAATTAGGAAAAGCTCGTGAAAAGTAGAAATCTCTGTTTAATTTTAGGAAATATTTTCAGGTTTGTCCTATTATAATAAATTTTATTACCTTGATTTTTTTTAAATGTGGATTTTTCTGTTACATGTTATGTTAATTTCTATGATTTTAGTGTAAACATTTTGTCGAAAAGGTAAAATAACATATAAAAAATAATGTTATTTCAGTTGGTACTACGCAAATGGAATATATTCAGAATATATTACATGCAACGTCCGTAACATATTTTCCACGTAAATTAATGTGATAAATAATCAATTTCACCTTCCTCATTTTGGTAAATTACAAACTATTAGAGCATATTTTATTCAGTGTAGAAATTAGTAAAATCTGTACACTGTAAAATATTCCATAAAAAAATGCTTTAAATATTTCCCACGTTTCAAGTACGAAAAAGTAGGTTTCCTATTTCTGTCTGTGTCGATTTTTATTATACAGATAATCTCCGAAACTACTGGACCGATTGCTGTCAAATTTTATAACTTAAAAAAAATAACATATTCTTGTACTTGTGGTTTATGAATCCACCCTGAGTTTTTACCCTACGCATCAATTTTCGCAAAAAATCCAAATTGTGTAACTAAGCGACCTTGATTTTTTTTCGTAACTGTTATGCTATTATCTATATTTTTAATGAATTGGGACCATCACTGTTGGACTCACTTCAGGGGCGTGGGAAGTTCTGTTTTTAACTGAATATGACAAACTTTATTACCTTCAATTTTTCAGCAGTAGCTTTTTCTGCCACAATGTTAACAATTAATTAGTGTAAACATTTTGTCAAAAAAGTAAAATAACATTAAAAAATCTATTAATTCAGGTAATAATATGTCAATGGAATATTTTACTTGTAACGACTGTAATATATTCTCAACCTAATTAATATATCTGATAAATAATCAAACTTATTTTTCTAATCTGGTAAAATTATACATTTTTGGAGCATATTGGTCCTTCATAGAAAGAAATTATTGAAGAGAAATGCTTAGAATACTACATTTCATGAAATTTAATAGAAAAAAATATGCTTTCAATATTTCATGGTTTTAATCAAGCAAAATATTCACTTTGAGAATCTAATATGTCAGCAGGTTTTAAAAATGTTATTTACAGGAATCAGAATTTAATTTGGTTCGTTTTTTAATTAACATTTCAAATATCTAGCATATTTTATTTTTTTGAGAAGTGAATTATGTTCTACATATTTTGCGTTTTAACTAGAGAAATTTGGCGGAACTTACTGTAAACATTCTTAGAGAAGGTTAAATAAAATACAAAAATGTATTATTTAATGCGTTATTCACATTTGGAATATATCACGTCCATAACATATTCTTCACCTGGCGCATTTGATGATCAAAATTTAACTTGACAATCTTCGAAAACTAGACATTTATTCTTTTTAGAAGGCATTTTATAAAATTTATTAAATTATGCTACAGGTGTGTCATGTTTTTTACATAATTTTTTCTTTAGTAAAATACTCGTATACAAATGTAATATCGAAAGCCACCTTGATTTTTTGAAAATGTTAAATTAAGCTCGACATTTTATCTTTTGTAGCGTCATAACAAGGGAGGATTTTTAAAGTACTAATTGCCCTGTAGAATATATTGCAAGTGAAGTCCGTAACATATCCCTTACGTAAAATAGAAAACGATCAAGGTATGTGTTGAAAATTACAAAATTCATAACATAGTAATTTAACTGTGGAGTATTTTGAAAATGCTAATAATGCTCTATTTGCTATAAATTCAATGGATGAAATTACCAATCTTTATCACCGTAATAACGCAAAATTCGTCATCTTTGCCGAAAATAATTTTAAATAAATATTTCAACGTTTTATGCAAACCAAACGTTGTTGTTTGAAAGACGTCTGGTAGAATTTTCTTAATGCCAATATTTTGTAATATGTTATGACTTGCATGATTTCAACTGTATTTCCTCGTAATTGTCAGAATTAATAATAGAATTCAGTGAAAGAACCTCGTCACGCTTGAAAAAAGCTTTTTGCATTCACTATTGACGTACGTAGGAGTTCATTAGAAACCCATTTATTGCAGGCTCAATTAACACAAAGTATTTCAACACGAAAAACTACGAGGACGTGTCAAGACAATTTATCTACAATTAATTCACTATTAACATACATTTGATTTATTTGTATTTGTAAGGCGCTACGAAGCAATTAGCGAAACGTTTGGCACCGGCGCATCCACCATTTCTCGCTTCGCCCGAACTCGCTCCAACCTCTCAGCGGAAAATTCCAAATTATAAAATCAAAAACGAATTGTGTCCCAACATGATAATCCCGACGTTTTACGACGTTTTTAATTAACCCGAGCCGTAACGAGGCTGCCATTTAAGGCAGAAGCTGAAATTTTTATCGCCGTATTAATTCGCCGTTTAATATTTTCGTAAAATGTCACCCGAGCCTTCGCCCATATTTCTGCCTTCCAGCCTGCCATCAACACGCAAAATAATCATCAAAACCATAAATACCATTCCGTTGTTCAAGTTCCCGATCGGCGTTCCGTGTCTCTTCGGTATTTTTATTGCGTGACCAGACACTAATCGGTTATATAGCAACCGAGCCAACTAAAACCTATAAATAAACGATTTTACGGTTTCGAATCACAATTTTTTTATACATCTGTTCCTCCATATGAATATTAAATGGTTTTACGAGCGCCGCACTACCAGTTAAAATTACACGCGGATCAAAGCCCCCACCGGCTCACGTCATACGATAAATTTACATTAAAGACACGCAAATTGGACTAATCACGACTAATTACATCGTAATTTGTACTGAATGGAATCGTTTATCTTATCGCCGGGGTCAACAGTTGGGTATTTTTACGCGCGAAGTGGCGCTTGTTTTTATTTTGGTTTCGGTGAGATCGACATCGGTCGCGGGTTTGTTAAACCGGGAACAATATGGAAGGATGCGGCGAGGTGAACCGTAAATTTTTACTGGTTTACGATTGTTTTATGGGAGCAAATGCGGCGATAAGCGAAAACTGGACGATGCAGGTGTAGGTTGCGAATTTTCGCGTGCACACCATCCGATTTAATGATGCAATCAGTCTAAAGAGCGGATTTTAGGCTAAAACAAAGCCAAAATAGGGGATAAAAACACAGGATTTAAGTCCGAAAAATGGCAAAATAGGCGCTTTAGCCAAGTTTTAGGAAAAATAAATTTTTCGTAACGTTTGGTTTTTTTTTGAGATGTACATTTATTTTATTACTTTACATAATCAGCGATCCTGATCTTCGTTAAAATTTGCATAACAAGTTAGATATTTTTCTAAATTTTCGGCAGAAAAATTTTTGAGAAGGATCTCTCAATATCACACGATGTTAAAGGAGAATATTTAAAATTAGAAATTTCAATGGGTTTTAAATCATCTTTAAACCTTTTTCTACAAGTTGGCCTTGTAATACTTTGCTGACAAGTTTAAGCTCTTGTACCCGGTGTTTTTTTGTAAATTATCTTGATACAATTGCGCTATTATATCCACAAACTGATTTAAGGTCAGCCCAATGGTCTCTAATCTAATTATCCTTGTTTCTAAGATGGCAAATTGGTTTTTATATAAGCGAAATTATATTTGAGATGCTTTTATTGGAAATATACCGATTCCTATTAAAATCCGAACACCTTGAATTAGTTGACTGATAAAACTGAAAGTTTCACCAAATGTGCACTAAATCGAACCAAATAAATGATTCAAATAACAGGCCTAAAACTTGTGAAATAAAAAATTTATTTAATAATGTGTGGGTCCACCGTGATTTCTAATGCACTCATGTACTCGGCGAAGCATGCTTGAAAGATGGTTTATGGTGTCCTGTGGGATCTGGTCCCAAGCTTCCTGAAGCCACATACGAAGGTCACATTACCTAGACGTGTGCCCTTGATATCTCACACATGTTCGATTGGTGACAAATCTGGTGAACGCGCAGGCTAGAGGAGAACTTCAACATTATGTAATCAGTATAGTATTGAGCATCAGCGATGCACTTCGACACTGTTGCGTCAAATTCCATAATAACTAGGCTTCGGATTTTAGGTCGTTAAAAAATGAATAAAAGGAGACATTTTTAGGTCCCAAAACTGACGAATTAGGTTATAAAAATCTTAGTTTAGGTTAAAACCCTGGAGGAAAAAATATTTGCTCAACGAAAAAGCATACATCAAAAAAATATATATTAAAAAAAAAACATTAACAAAACATTATAGAAACAAATATTTTGTGTAACTAACAAAAAAATGATTAAATAAACAAACGATCTATAGTTACGTCCACTAATTCTAAGTTATCGTAAAAAAATGGCGATCAAATTAAAGCAAGTCGCATTTAAAAAAAAATAAAATAATAATTCAGGTATTTAAAATGAGTTACAAAAGCAAACTATACATTTCTCTAAATTTTCGATTGTAAATTTACACCTTTGATCACTTAAAACACTTTTAAGTTTTGAAAACGTGCGTTCCACATCACAAGAAGTGATGGGTGCAAAATTAAATATTGAACAATCTACGTTTTCATTATGTATGTATTGGTGGTAGCATTTCCATTACCGCAAATTACGTTATTTACTGAACATATAAAATCGTATTCTGGATTCTTTTTTAACAGAGAACATAATTTTTGGAACGCCATTTCCCCCACCTTTCTTGGTGTGTTTTTTAAAGATATATACACTTTTTCCACAATTTCCATATTTTGGTTTAATTTTAGACCTATAGTTTCTAATTGTTCTATTGCATCAGCAATAATTTTAAAGTGAGTTTTAAATGCACAAGAGTTCATTTTTAACGTTTGCTTTATTCAGGAATTCTTGAGCTTTTTTAATGCTTTGGGCATCTGTGGCTTCAAATGACATTACAACCTAAAATATTCAATATAAGAATGATAGTAAAAAAACATTATATATTAACTGATTTGTTTTAAAACATCAAAGTGTTCTGCATAAAACAATGCTGCTTGAATCCAAGTGCCCCACCTGGTTAATACAGGGAGGTGTATCTGGTAAACTGTTTTTATAAAACTCTGCTCTTATTGATGTTTTTAAAAAGATTTTCTTAACATTGCTAATTATCCCATTGACATCTGGATAATTCGGTCTAATTGTTTCAAACACTGAATGTAACCCATGTGCCATACATGTTAAGTGTGTTATATTTTCTTAAAACACCTTCAAATTAGTACCAGTTTTGATCATGTATGAAGCCCCATCTGATACAAACCATTTAACTTTTTTGTGTTCAGTTCCTTTTGGCCACAATAAAGCTGCAAATTAACAATTAAATAAATTAGCACACCCAATGATTCGTTTATAAATCTCGAGATTGTGTTGCTATTAGTTTTATCAAGCTGCTTCAAAGCTAATGGAAAAGGACGGCCAGCTTCTTCAGAAGATAACTTTCCAATTACTAAATGGGCTATGTATCTTCCTAATCTGTCCGTCGTCTCATCGACGCTAATCCATATATCATTATTGCGAATAGAATTTCTAATTTGTTTAATTACCTGTAAATTATAAAATTTATGTTAAAAAGGTTTTAAATAAAAATTCTAGTGCTCACCATATCGTAATCTTTTGGTAAATACTTTTTTCTCAGAGTGCTTTCTGAGGGTAAATGCCTTCCTACATATTTATGCATAAAATTTTTAAACTCAAGACAACTAACTTTATTCCATGGAATATTTGCTGCGGTAAATGCCCTACATAAATCGGTGCAAAATTGCGTAAAATCATTGTCGGAACTAATGTTTAGTAAAGTCTGTTTACTGGATTTATTCTCGTTCTTTTTATGTGCATCGCAACTCCAGTGTTGTTCAAAGTGTGATTTTTTTTCGCACTTAAACTAGGAAACAAAAATGTGAACATAATTGAAGCTTCAGTATTTTAAATGTTTGCTTACAACTTTTTTACACACTTTGCAGAATAACTCATTGTCTTTGGTTGAAGAAGGAAATTGAAAATTAGTGTTCAAATTATTCCCTAACCATAATTTGATTTTATCTTTCATGCATGATTTTACCTTAGGCATTTTGAGCATTCTTTACTGTATGCACAAAAATCAAAACCGGCCCCAGCACACTCACTAACACGCAAAGACACTCAGTATCACTAACAATAAACTTCTAAAATAAAATGCTTTTTCAGAGATTCACCTCCTTCCGGCTATAATCAAAATGAAATGCAGACCAGCGTTGTCAGTTGGCGACACCAACCCGTACGACTAAACTCAAGGGCGTTGTTTACAATCCATTTTTAAACAATCGGCCAGCCAAAACAATGACTTCACGGAAAATCTCTATTGTGCAAGCACGTCCGCTTCGTTGGTCGTGGAATCCTATTTTAAGTCTTTTAAAATTTACAATTAGGTCATTTAATTAACACTTTAGGTCTCTAACGGTAAATTAGGCATTTTAGGTAGTAATAAATGGGCGTTAAATAAACAGATTTTTTAAAATTCGGATAAACATATAACTTTCGCTGCAATGCCTGAAGTACTTATAAAAACGCAAAAAACCTAAGATCCGAAGCCAAATAATAACCTAAAATGTTTCATTTAATTTAGAATTACACCACAAAACTTTGAATAGCAATAAACTAACCTTTTTTATATGGTTAAAATGATCGCAAAGACATATTGCAGCTTCAATCCATCTTGTCAGAACAGGTTCTGGAGGCAATGAACAAACCGGTAAGGCTTCCCGGAAGGTTTGGTTCCTGAAATGAGCTTTAGGAAAGATTTTCTTTACGTTGGAAATAATACCATTGACACTTGATTCCGGATAACTTCAGCTACTAAACTTAAGGCGTAAGCCAAACATGTTACATAAATTAAGTTGGAATAAAATATTTCATGATGTTTGCCAGATTTAACCATGTATGCCTTTCGTTAGTAGCAGTTTTACTTTTGTTAGTCCAATAAAACTTAAATCGGAAAACGTAAAAAACCTTTTGCAATCTCCGACTGAAAAAGGGGGGGGGTGTTATAAATTTAACCCCTTTTTCTTTGTGTGTCATCGTAGCTCCCAAACGGATGAACCAATTTCAATACGACTTTTTTTTGTTCGGACGGGTTCTTAGCTACGTTGGTAATCACTTAAAGAATTGTTACGTTTTGCGGGCGAATAAAATTGGCTTGGATTAAAACTCAACAATTTATTTCTTAATAACTGGTATTTACACGATTCATGTACAGAAATTATTCCGGCGAGTTTCACTGGACGCTCTTGACTGACTCCGCCACTACCTCAATAATCCGTTCCCGACGGTCACCTCTATTTAAACCCATACTTCTCCGATCGAGATCTTTCTCGAGTATCCATCGCGACTCCGCTTCGAGACTTCCGGTAACCGGTTCCAGACTTGTCTTTGTGCGCCCGAGTCACCGGTCATCGACACACATACTAGAAAAACTCATAGACGTCGCACCGGGGCGGTTATGGGTTTATTTCGTAAAGGTATTTTTAAGTTTGAAGCACTTATCTCTCTGTGGATTTGTCTGTGGAACCGCAACTCCCAAACGGTTGACCCAATTTCGACTCAGTTAATCTTGCGACCCCATTTTTTTGAAAAATTTAAAACAATCTTGAGGTTGTAGGTATGCCTGTTTGGAAAGAAGTTGAAAGTGCTTTGGAGTCTCTACTGTCTTTTCTTATAATAATTTAATTAAAATTTTTAGAAGATACGTCATTTCCTAAAATCAGTCTTATCTTAGCAGGTACTAATCCCCCACCCATTTTCTTAAAGGATACCTTATTTGCCAAAATCAGTCTTATCTTAGCGAGTATTAGCCCCGCCCACCCACCCTTTATTTTCTTAGAAGGTATATCATTACCAAAATCAGTCTTATCTTAGCAGGTACTAGCCCCGCCCCAACACTCTGCTCTCATTCTAACGATTTTATCTCTGTTCAATTGAGATCCACCTTTCATTCGAACTAGATAAAATGAATCACTGAAACAGAGGCGGGGTGGGTGGGCGGGGTTAATCGTATGTTCTTTGGTAGAGTGCAAATGGAAACTAATACAATGTAAGCTGTTAAAAAAGCGCTAATTTTTTTGATATACTATTTGCCATGATTTATTTCTTATTTCAGAAGAAAAAATGAGAAAACGGGTGAATGGCCGGGACTACGTTTAACTTTTTTCTGCAGAGCCTTTTATAAGCAAATAATAGCCCCGCCCACCCACCGCCTTCTTCATTCCAGTGATTGATCTAAATATTGATCAGTTCGATCTTAGCTAGTTTTAGCCCCGCCCCCTAACCTTTTATTTTCTTAGAGGATATGTCATTTACCAAAATCCGCCTTATCTGAACAGGTAGTAGCCCCGCCCACCCACCCTCTCATTTCTTAGAGGGTATGTTATTTACCAAAATCAGTTTTATCTTAGCAGCTACTAGCCCCCCCCACCCACCCTCTCTTTTCTTAAAGGATATCCCATTTACCAAAATCACTCTTATCTTAGCAGGTACTTCCTTGTTTTTTTGTTTGAAAGCTGGTCCAGTCAGGAAGGTTCTTACGAGGATGGTTCGATGAATAACTGGGTTCGCATCGTCTTGGAAAGTAAAAGAAGAAAAAGCAGGAACTGTATATATGGACTTCAAATAGGTTTCCCATAAATGACGTTTCCATAATGTCAAGTTATTTTGTCAGGATTCTTCGTTTACGAATTAATTGAGTACGAGTGTGTCGAGTCATTTTTATTTAAAAATGGGCAAAACTGGAAGGCTAAACTGCAAAAGAAATCCACTAAAACGTATTCTATGTTGCATTCTGTTGCTACCACCGGTCCGTCAACCCCCAGGACACCCCTTTCACGGCTTTTGGCAACCTGCTGTGTCATTGGCCAAAGGCGCCCCACCTGAGTACGCCCTCAGATCCCAGGTAGATACTACGGTATCTGCCCCAGATTTCACACGTCTACACTGTTCCCATGGCTAGATTCACCCTAACTTGCCACCTTCTCTTATCAACACCTTAATACCCAACTTTTTCCTCTTATCACTCAACCCGAGTCCGACCTTGTCAAACCATCACAACACAACTGGGCCTTTACGCCCATCGGCTACTCTGCCTGACTCTGACTAGTTGTCGGCATCTGAGATATGTGTCTTAAGTGGGGGTTAATAATTAAAACTGATTGGTTTTGTCGCCTTTAAGACCTGCACTAAAAACTCCACTTACAGAGCTTTTTAAGGATTACACTTGCTAAACAACGTAAACTAAAATAAAGAACTGTTAGTTTCTCTAACAATTCACTCCTACACCAACAAATTGCTCCAAGGTTACTTCGACAGAACTTCCCTCGCCCTTGAAGTAGTCCAACAAATTCTGCTTCTTTACAAAATTATAAAAAAATGTGTTTTCTAATAACCTTTATGTAGTAAAAGGCAGTAGTGTAAATGACACCCCGAACCCCGCGGGGGCGCAAATTCCAAGGAGGCGCCGTCCGTAGACACACGGACAATATGAAATATATTCAAAGCAAATAACCACCGGCAAAGATTAACTCGATTAACTTGTTTATATTTATACATCTAAAGAATATCATCTAGAATTTTGTTTAATTTGAAGGGGTTGTCTCCTCAAAACAGAGGTCTAGAATTATTAATTAAACCACAATGGAACAATATGATTGTTTTAAATATCATTATTATTCTTATTTGATCATAATTAAATAAAGACAATCAATATCATCAAATCATCAAATAGATCAATAAAAATTGGTCGGAGGCGATAAGTATAATCCGACAAATCCAGCCCTTTAAAAAAATTATGAAATTTGATTTACGATTTAAAAAAGATAAAAGGTATTTGAAGCACATAACTAACGGTATAAAACGTCCTTCAGCACTAGGTAATAGCAGTCTGAAGCTCAAGTGTCTATTTATCTGTATACATCGAATGAATGTCACGTAGAAATTAGTTTGATTTGAATGAGTTTGTCTTCTCTTCTCTAGATATTTAACTATCTACATGGTATTTGTAATATACATACAAAATTTGACAACAATTGGTTCCGTAGTTTTGGAGATTATGTATTTCAAAAACACTGTGTATGCCGAAATAAACGAAGAAAGGTAAATAATTATGTGAAGAGAATTTTCCAGCAAAATAGGTTCCAAACTGCATGTATTTTGTACATTTAGCAAAATATTAATGAAAATATCAGGATTTTTAACAAACCGTTGATGCTTTTGGGGAGGGCTAATGTGAAAAATACACACAAAAATTAATATCTTTGTGTAAATTTGTCAGCTGGGTTTGCAAAAATTAAACAAAATCGTGATGCACTGTCATCTTGATAATTTGTCTTGACGTTTCAAAAGCATTTAAAGCGCTTCAGTCAACAAAACATACATCATAGAGATGTTAAATGATTGACAGAATGAAAAACCGGGGCGGATAATTTTTTTTTTATAATAACCTTTCTGAGTTAAAATAAAGGTATGTGTGTAGATTTTCCATTACAAAATTTTGTCATAAAGTAAATTTCCCCATTATTTTTTTTGTCATCTGTATAAGCATTGTTAAAATATATTAATTGATAAAGTATAAGTATAGATTCATCATATCTTGCACATTTTTGATAAATTGATAAAAACATTTAGGGTTAAAAATCCAGGCGGATGCATAAACCACAAATACAAGAGCATGTTATTTTCTCACATTTCAATAAAGTTACTATAAAAACTACTGTGGTGACGTTATCAAATTGTTGGCGGGGACGATTAGACAAGTTTTTGTTAGCATTTTACCATTTACATGGTATTCTTAGTATGAATATTTAATAAATTGAACGAAAATGTAATACAGTGATCGACTCCTACACTGGTGGTGTACATATCTACTTTAAGTTTTTCCCCTAGCAATAAAAAAAATCCCCAAAGTGTATGATCTTTTATGCTAGTATAAGCGACAGACCAGTCTCCGTAGCGATGGTTTGTGTCCGAAGCGCTGACTGGATGGCTTATTTTTTATCTTAAGCCGTGACTCCTATTATCTATATTTTTTCATTGATTAAATCAAGAATGGTTCACCCTTGTTTTTATTAATCAAATCTCAAGAACGGTACAGCCCATTGTATTACACTGCACTTATCG